TATAACAGCAAAATGTGATTTATTTTTTGGCTAGAACTGGCTAAAAATTTGTACGAATTGATTATAAGTTTTTTTCCTATTTTTCTATAAGATTATCGAGCCATGCAGTACTTAAACTGCTCTTTACAATACTATGACATAATAACTTTTCACCGACCAGCCTCTCCCGATCTGTTAAAAATTCACGATATTTTCTAGGGTCTTCTTTACTTTCTATTCCACCACGATAAAAGCGTATGTCTCTTTCCAAATCCCCACGAAAACATCTCATGGTTCACCTATTTTTCTCAGCTTCTGTAATAACTAAAAATTTCTCAGGATCCATTTTATGCTCAATAGCATATTGGCGTAAGCCTGCCTTTGGCTGATAAAGGCGGGTTTTGTTTGGTACACTTACTTAAATTTTTGGTGTGCTCTGTATAGCAATTATAACTTTCTTTTGATCGATACGAAAAGGGCAATTAAGAAAGTAATGATCATTTTTATCTAGACAGCTCCAATCTTTCCATATACCTAAATGTGTATGCACCTCTTTATATATCGGACATTTAGCTTCTGGATCTGTATATTTAAAAACATCTCAGTACCATGCATTTGATTTAATATATCTCAAGAAAAGAAAATGTTTATGTACTGCTTCAATAATTACATCTTTCTCTTCTGGAAACTTGGAAATTTTGATAACGCAATTCTGTAAGGTATAATTAACCTCTTCGATTTGTGGGGGATCCGGATTTTCAGACTTCATCCAAGAATCAAGCCTAGTTTTTTTCTTATATATTTTATATAACTTAGAATGAAGTTTAACAGATATAGTGGTTGGCAAATCAGTTAATTTGGAATACCAATCCAGATATTTGGGGGTTAGTACCTTATCAGACTTGACTTGTGTATCCATGTTGTCATTTATATAATTTTAAAGCAATTTAATTTCTCAGATATCCTGTACTAAAAAATATCCTTCTTTCCTTTCTATCGCTTGGAAAAAGATGTATATGCTTTTAGTATATGTTGTCTGTCTTTTTTCTGGCTTCGAGCAGATACTGCAAGAAGGCGAGTTATAAAGCACAAACAAATTTTATGCAGTTATTTGAATTTCGTGTTGCTCACATTTAATATAGTAAGTTTTATCTTTATATTCTCCTTTTATGCCTTCCTCATCATCATGGTCTAACTTGTATAAAGGACATAATGTCTCATCAGTAATTCTGTAGTAATCAATATTTTTATCATTAAATTCATAAAATATATCGGGATATTGATCTAATACTTTTCTATGAAAACTTAAACAGTTATTCTTGCCAAAGGCAGTCACAAGGTGGCTAGATGTATTTACCTGTGATATACTTACTTCAGCTTCTGGTAATTTCGAGGAAGCAGAGTTTCGAGCCTTTGACTCATCTTGATTATTTTTTTGAGATAAATCTAAAGGAATTGATTCAGTAGGCATACTTACCTTAGTCTTCAGTAAAGAGTTAACTTCACTTATCTTATTTTCTGAATTAGAAATATGGGACAATTGGATAGAAGAAGTGGTTGTAGTACTTACCTCTGTTTCAGGCAAAATTTTCTTGGTTTGATCATTCCCCAAGGGAACAGTTTTTGAATTCACCTGATCTAGACATGTAAGTGCCCTCACTTTGTGAGTAATATTCTGAATTTGTGCATTAGTAAGGCTGGAAATTTCTCTTGCACTATAAGAGACTTGCTTAATTTTATGTACCCCAACCCCCTTTTCTCCAAATAGGCTTAGGATTTTTTTCGCTCTACATGTTTTTATTCGTAGAGAAACTAACAAAATGCCTGGTAGATGCCGTAGCATTTCTTTATATATCCAAGCTCTCACTGTTTGCTCTGTAGCTTTACTTTCAGCTATAATAGCGAAAACCTTGCTTTCCATTTCAAGAGAATAATTATACCAACGCAAAATTTCTTTTTGACAGGACTTGGTTGTCTTTTCAAACAAATAGGCCAAAGTTGGTGCAAATTCTAGAATCAAAGTCTTTGAAATTCGCTCATTACAAGGCTCATTGATTTCATCACTGATGTGCTGGCTTTCGCCTATATCATTTCTATCAGTGCATACTCTAGAGAGGTCCTGGCATTGTAATTCTTCTATCAGTTCCTGTTTAACAATCTGTTTTTTGTCAAGCTCAATATGGGCATCAGAGTGATATCCATCATTAGGATCATTTCATATTGGCTTTGGCAAAATTTGTTTCTGAGTGTTTCCATTGGAAACGCTTTTTGTGTCATGTGATATTTTCGAATCTTGAGCTGGAAGCTTTTTTTCTCTGTTTCTATCTCTTATCTGGTTGCTAATACTTTCCTTAAATTTTGCATCCAGAAATTTATCTGTCTCTTTCTCTTGTGATTTAGGTTCGATTTTTAGCTGGCTTATGTTAACACTGATGCTATAATCCTTATCAGAGTGATCCTCGATAGGTACCATCAATGGTGAACGTGCTGGAGACTGTGTGATATCTCCTGCAGAAGGTACTCTCTGTGCATTAGTAATAGTTCAGTCCCGTTTGATCTCCTCGAAATCATGTCTTAGTTTTGCAACTTCAGCTTTAAGCTCAACATTTTCTTTTGCCGACCGTTCTAATTCTACAATTCTAGCTATAAGTCCCGCTTCCTTAGCCAAGAATTCAGACTTCTCCTTTTTAAGTTCATTATTCTCTGCTATAAGCTTGGAAATCTGTTCTTTTAATAAATCAATTTTGGATTGTGTATTTGCCATTTTTTATATAAAGTGCAAATTTATTCAAAACCTTTTTATTATGCAAATATGTGAGATATTTATGTGCTAAGGAAAAAAAATTAACTATGCAACTACATAGTGACCCAACTTGATGTAGTCCGTGATGGGCCGTGATCTCGTATTTATTGATATATTTACATGATTAAAAATATTAAAAACTTTATTGTAAGTTATGAGTTGAAGACTTAGCACTTTGTGATTTGTAATATATATATGATATTTTTGCTTTGCAGGCACAGCCTAGAATTTCGGGGTAATTAAGTAAAACAGATATAAAAAATTTACGTGATTTTAGAATACTCTTTTCCGATAACGCATACACCATATACATACTACCCGCATACACGAATTAAAAAATAGGCGGGCCCATGGGCAAAAACTTAATTGATATGATAGGCTACCACTTTCTCGCATAAATGCTCGAAGCAGAACAGAGATAAAAAATACACGACTCTGATCATGAAGAAAATCTGGTTAATTTTATTTTCCGAAATGGCACTATTTTTCTAATAGACACGCATATCATAATTTTATATGTAGTAGCGTAGCACAATTTTATATATATGTCGCATACACCGTACACAAATATTAACGTTAAAATACTTTATTATTTTTCTACCTTGTAACATCTATCACGTGCGCGTAACACAGATCAGTTGAGAAAAAAATTTTGATTTTCACATTCTATTTCTAAACTTTGCTGGGTTCCCAAGGATACTCACTGCACATACATTAATACAAATTAAAATTCCGAAATTTTGACAAATCCCACTGAAAAAAATAGGATCACTAATTTTCATCCTACTATAACTATTGTTGAATAATATCTTGAAGATCTCGAACTCATTTTTTTTCAGAAGTTATATGAGTTGATGATGTAAGGGATACAATATTTTGAGGGGGTGTCTGGGACCCGTCATTTTCATAATAGTTATTAAGAAAATGTTCAAAATCTACTTTTGACTCATTAATCAAGTTAAGTGTTTGCTTAATTACAGATTTTACAAATAAAACCTCCATTATAATGAATCCAAGTGGTTGATATTTGTTTAAACGACCAGGAACTTCATAAAATTTTCGACGATGGATGCGAGTAACGTATCCCATCGGAAGATCTATGGTAATTACTTGCATCATATTCGCTCCTTGGAGAATCCCAGCTATTTGTAACTTTCTTAAAACATCTTCTTTCATATTGCATTCTGTTGCAAGTACATTAATCATATCTTTAAGCATCTTGGACATTTTTAAGAAATCCGTTAAGAGTTTGGTTCCCTTTGTTCCCTCCCAGTTTCTTCCAGCTTCAATTGCGCCAAATTCAAGGCGCTTGTTGCATAATCTAAAGATCCCATCTCCCTTTTTGCCAAATTTTTTTCGGTCATTTTCAGACCTATCAGTATTTTTTCTATCACTTGACGATAAACACATTCCTTCTCCTCGCACCAAATCAGTTTCCATCTCACAAAAAGCGGAATCAACTAAATGAGCCCAGATGTTCATTTCGAACCACCCTTCTAGTTTTGAAGCTGAAGTAAAATCGTCTTCTCCTCTCCATAGAGAATACATTGACCTATACGCAAGGTTAATATAATCCAAATCTATTGAATAAGGAGCATTATCAGAAAAAAGGGGCTCAAAAATAACCTTTTGAAGGGTAGGTAAATTGTCTACATTGTATTTTTTCAAGAAATTCACAATTTTTTCGTCGATTTTTGGTACTTGTTTTGGATTAGAGGAAAATATTTCGTTCTACTTATTTTTGTTAAACAGTTTTTTTGCCTCCATATCAACATCGTTTATAATGAAAGAGTGTAAGTAAGAATCGTATTCTAATTCTCGTGCGTGATCGTATATAACTTTTTCGACGACACGCCCAGATGAATTGAGAACCCACATTTTTGAGGGGTCAAGAGCTCGGTAAGCAAGCTCAAAATTCGAGAAATTATAATCACTTTCTACTTCGTCATTATAAGTGGTGGACTCTTTAATATCAAATCGGTTTGATTGTCTTTTAACCTGAATCAAAATTGTAAAGAACGTCAATAATTATAGTTCCGTAACTGAAATACACTAGTGTTACCGTATGTTACCGAATAGAAGCTACCCCTGAATAAAAGCTACCCCCCACTTTTTGAGTGCAAAAAATGAGAAAAATGAAAGAAATTGTTAGTTACCAAATAAAAGC